GAGATGCTCCGGGCCGGATCACGGCGCCCGGGATCGGGATGCGGGCCACAGGGGCCGCTCGTCCCTCAGGTCCCCCCTAGAAGTGGCCAGGGGTTCTCTCGGTGCACCTCGCTTGAGCTCCCCCGCGACAGCTCAGAGTCGAGGCCGGGTCCCCGCTGTCTTCTCCCCCAGCCGCTCCTCAAGCCAGGTCCGCGCCCCCGCAGGCTCACGGCCCATCGCTGCGGCCCCAGCGTAGCTATGCAGCTTCCCAGCACCGCCTAGCCAGAGGCTCTGCGCTCATTGGCCAGTCGCATACTCACCCACATTTCATTGGCTAGGTCAATGTTCCATGCTCATTGGCTCAAGCTGCCAGGGGGCGGGCACTCCTTTGCTCCGCCCCCTGGGAGGTGCATCAGTCTCTAAATTGCTTTCCTGAAGTTGGCTTTCCTTAGCTTCCCTGCACCTAGTTTTTACGTATTGTGCCTCACATCTTTGGAACCCAGTTTCCCCATTTTAAATGAAGCCAGGGTAGAGAAAGGATGTCGGAAATTCCACTGAAAATCTTAGATATTATCAAGGCACTTTTATTTTATTCTTTTCACGGTAGGGTGCCTCTGACAGCTGATGGGAGATCTGCATTACAGGGTTCCATGACTCCAAATGGAGAGCACCACAGGCCGGTCAAAGCTTCCGCCAGTGAAGTTGCTTGGTGTTTCTTTTTTGTACTTTGTAATCTACGTTTTAAAAATGCTAAGTTAAAAACTAATGCTGAGTAATTGAAAACGTCTGCTCAGATTCCTCTGCTCACAGACGGAGCGGGAGCAGAGGAATCTCCTTAGCGGGATGAATTTGCCAAAGGTGCCTTACATCGGAAATTAAACAGCAGGGGATCAAAACCAGGGTCTTGTGTGTTCAAGATGTAGGTAGGCAAGAGCTACATCTTCAGTTCTTGAAAACAACAACAAAAACCAAGTTCACAGCGGTCCACCTGCCTCTGCCTTCTCTGCTGGGATTAAAGCCTCGGTCACCATATCCAGCCTAACTCCAGCTCTTAATAGGTCTTTAATATAAGGTCACACTTATTTTCACAGAAGCTGGACAAGGCAATGTGCTATGTACCCCTTTCACAGATGAGGAAACTGAGCCCCAGAGAAATGGGTTCTCAAAGCTGCTGAGCCTGGCTATTTGCTTTGGAGGTCAGAATCTGCTCTTGCTCTTTCAGGACTTTTATTGCCTTTCTAGTTCAATTACAGGGGAACCCATTAACTTGGTGCTGGCTTCCATTTCTATAATTCTTGGAAGTAAGGCAAATCAGCATTTATTCACTCTAGCAATATTCATTAAAAACCTACTATGTGTTTTAAATCTTGTCCTGGGCACTGGAAAGAACATTGGCCCCTGACTCAATTCTTTTCTTAGGGCAGTTAATGGGCTACCTCAGGAATTAAATAGCTATGAGCTGTAGAAATGAACACATGAGTGTGTGCTGAGCCTCAAAGTCTTGCTTCCCACAGAGGTCCCCACTTCAAACCTGAGAGGGAAATTCAGGTATGTCTAAGCGCACATAGAAAGCTTGGAGTTTCCTTTCTCTCTTAATGTGTTAGTTTGAGAAATGGCATGGATTTCGGATAAAGACCAAAGGAAACTGCTGAACGTTCATTGTGTTTAGCTTTAGTACATTGCTGTTGACAGAAGCGGATAAAGATACCTGGGCTTGAATCCTGCCCCTGCCACATGTTCAGTGCCTGACCTCTCCATGACTCTATTTCCTGGATTTTAAAATGAGGTTAATAACAGCATCTACCTCATAGGGTGGTGAGAATTAAATAGTAAATCACTTAGGATAGTGGCATATAATATGCACCACCCAATACCTTTATTTTTTATTTAATTCTTACTCTTGTGATATTGAAGATTGCACCCACAATGAACAAGCCACATTCCTAACTCTCTAAAAAATTGAAAGTTAGGGTCTTCAAAATGACTAGATGTTAAAAGATACTTGCCATGTCCGAAGACCTGAGTTCAATTCCCAGAGTACAAATGGTGGAAGGTGAGAACATACTTTCCAAAGTTGTACTCTGACTTCCACAGGTGCTTGCGTGCGCGTGCACACACACGAATAATAAAGTGTATTTTTTTAATTTGAGAACTAAACCTCGTCAAATCTCCAACCTGCTGACCTCTTGACCCAGCCTCTCCAGTAGCTGGGGTTTCAGGACACAATCTTCTTTTTCTAATCACGAAGCTAACAGAGTGTTTACTTCCATTTCCCGCAAACTGTCTCCCAAAGCTCAGCTCACAAACTTTCCGTTTCCGCCCACCCCACAGTGTCCCGCCTCCTCCCCTCCTCTTGCCCCGCCTCTTCTCCACGGCCGCGCGAGTCATGCCGGCCCTTGTAGTCCGTTCGCAGAGTCCCGTCGCCGGGAGCCTCGCTCTAGAACTTCATTTCCCAGAGATCCTCGCGACGGCGGCCGTAAAGCGCGGCG